TTTTAATAAAGTAATCTCTGGAGAGATGACTCAGTGCTTAAGAGCACTGGCTGCTCGTAAGGAGACCTGGGTTTGGATTCCAGCACCCATGTGGTGGCTAACCCTCTGTAACTAGTTCCAGGGGATCTCATGCCCTCTTCTAGCCTCTGTGGGTACTGTAAGACACGGGTGCCCGTCCATCCTTTGTCTTCATACTTATGCTTATAAAATAAAAATTTTAAAAATCTGTCTCTCTTTGTGAAATGGGGGAGAAATAGTTGTACATAGTTTTGCAGGACATTAGTGAATATTAAATGTTCCTGGTTATCTAAAAAGCTTTGGTAGAGTGACTTGAACACATTATTTGCTAGTACAATAGTAAGCAATAGGACATAACCTCTCTTTATACAATAGACAATGATGGACAAGACAACACAGTTCTGAATGTCAGAAGCCAGAATTGGTTTCAGTAGGCCAAATGAAGGCATCTGTAGACCCATGTTCCTAAGACGAGAGGGAAAAAGTCACCTTCAAAAATGCAAACTGGGGCTGGAGAGATGGCTTAGTCGGTTTTTAAAAAAATTATTTGTATGCGTGTATTGCCCGCATGTTGTAGGTAAGTGAGCCTGTGTCATGCAATGCCGGAGGAAGACACCTTAATTTAAAAAATGCTAAATTCAGTTTGTTTAGCCACATGCGATGGTGCTCGTCTTTATTCCTAGCACTTAGGAGGCAGAGGCAGGCCTTGTGAGTTCAAGGCCAGCTGGGGCTGCAGGGAGACCCTGCCTCAAAAAGATTAAAAAAAAAAAAAAGGTAGATTGCATTTATTGTGGGGGGCGGAGGTGAAGGTGGGGGTCTTCATGTTCAGGCCAAAGGAAAACTTTAATTCTCTTCCATCATGTGGGTCCCAGGGATGGAACTCAGGTCATCAGACTTGTGCTCCCCAAGTGCATTATTCAAAATGATGAGCAGGCCTTAGCTGTAATCTGGGGTCTGATGCACTGGGTATTCAAATGGAGGAAAAATTTTTCCTGATACAACTCTTCAAATAACTTTTTTTTTCCTAGTATTTCTCAGATCTGAAACTGTTGCTTTTTCTTGTTATTCCCTAATGTAAGACTTGACTCTTAACCTCTAAAGTAGCAATTAGAGCAGTTCTTGGTGCCTTGTAGCCATTTCCCCCTTTTTGTAAAGTCATTAACTTTTAAAACTTTAAGGGATTAACAGTTACTGGAAACAATTCTAAATCAACAAGAAAAATATAACTCAGAAGAAAATTGAAAGCTATCCTTAGTTGATTTCTAAAAACCATTCACATGCTTGTGGTTCTCAGCACCTGGTCGCACGTGCACAGTCTGGGTACTTAACTGGTCGTGGTTGGCACTAGGTTTTTTTTGTCGGGTCTGCTTGTGCTGGAGCGCCTAGAATGCTACCTGACTTTACCCAAGGATGTCTCCAGGGTTTTGGAATAGCAGTGCTGTTACAGTTTCCATATCTGCCTGGAAAAC